AGGCGGGACATGGCCAGTTCCCGGAAGCGCAGGCCTCCCCGCCGGTCTCCGCCCGTCCCGGGGAGGCACCTCCTCTGTACGCGCGGGGCTACAGACGCTCGGGACTCGTGCGAACCGAGCCCTGGTTTTGTTCTGGGTCGAGGGGTGGGGGGCGAGGCAGAGGAGGAGAGACTCTCATTTCATTTATTTCATCTTTTATGCACGAGCTAGGTGGCGCACTCCTGTTATGGCAGCACTCCGGAGGCTGAGGCAGCAGGATAGCAGGGTCAGCCTGGGCTACAGGAATTCAAGACAAACCTGAATTATGTAGCGAGACTGTTCATACGTTATTTTTTAATGTGCAACTGAAAACGATGAGCCTTGGTGAGATTAAAGGCTTTTCCCAAAGTGCAGAGGGTAAGGTAAGCAGCAGAATGGGCACCCGAGCCCTCAGAAACTGCAGGCGCTCCCCACCCCCACCCCCCGGACCTTGCGCTTGTGAGGCAGCCGCTGCGGAACCACTGAGCCAAGTCCCCTGGCTCCCTTTTTTTTGATGCTGATGACACTGGAAGCAGTGTCTGATGTCAGCCAAGGTGCTTTGCCCCACGGGGAGCGATTCCCACAGCTAGTGACAAGGGGAAAGCCACAAGGTGTAGACAAGATGTTGGCAAGTCCTGGGTTAAATGAAGCTGGTGACTCCTTTGTCCTTCATCTCTGAGTCGTGAGGTATTTGTGAAGCACCGTGGGGTAATACAACATGTAAAGGTAGTGATTCCCGAACTTTTTTCACCGTGGAAGAAGTCTTTATACCATCTTACTGGGCAGTATTCCCGTGTGCCAGTTTGGGAAACACCAGCCTGTAGGGAGGCATGTGGATTGCAGGGGGTGAGGTTAATTTGATTGTGTGGATCTAAGGTTCATGACCTCTGATTTCTTCCTTTTCTTCCAGCCACACCAAAGGGTGAGTGGCCCAACCCAAGAGGCAGTTTGATCTAGGGTTGTTCACATACGGTTTTTCCAGATTCCCTTTTCTCATCAGAATCATGGTCTCTGGTTGCCAGGGTTACTGTAAGAATATTTGCTTATTTTTTATTTTAAGACAGAATCTCACTAAATTGCTGAATTAAGCAGGCTGGGTTTGAATTTGGGATCCTCCTGCCTCAGCCTCCCAGAGTACTGAGATTACAAAGCATGAGGCACTACACCTGGCTCTCATGAAGTTGAGTAAAGCTGTGTAGGTGTAGAGGCCTCTGTAATGCAACCTCTGTAAATACTGTAAAGCACTTGCATAGGTGCCTCTGTGTGGGGAGCCAGGTGAAGGCCTCTTCCTTTGGACCCTGAGATTGGAGGGTCTGCACGAAAGGTAAGGGTCTAAGGGCAGCCTACCAGCTACCTTACAGGGGTAACTGAATGTCGGTCCTGACCCTTCCCTACCCCCAGGCCTCAGCAAGTTCCTTCTTGTCTTCCAGCAGGTTGTGGCTCTTCCTCTTCCGCCTCTCTTGAGGTCCTAGGTCTCTGTCATTACTCTTGGCACATGCACCCTCTCTCGGCCCATCCTTGAGGCCTGCCTCTGCTGGTTGCCTTTTTTTGTTTGTTTTGTTTTTTTGAGACAGAGTCTCACTGTGTAGTTGAGACTGACCTGGAACTATGTAGCCCTGGCTGGTCTTGAACTCACAGTGATCCTCCTGCCTCAGCCTCCCGAGTGCTGGGATTACAGGTGGGCACCACCATGCCCAGCTTGCTGGTTTCCTTTTGTTCTTCCTTAAGGCCACTTGTGAGGAGGGAGTAGGCATCTTACCATGGACCCCAGTCCTGCTCATTTCATCTCTGAGGCTATCCCTGCCTACTCCCTGACACGGCCACCATGGGTCTCCTTTGTACTGAGTCAGGCTGACATGCATCATTTTGCACACTGGCCACTTCCTCCTCAGCTTGCTGCTATCCACAGGCACCTCTTCGGTGTCCTCCTCTTTAGGCAGAGCTCTGACCTTTAAACATCAGTGGGGTCCACTATTTTTTTTTTTTTTTTGTACCAGGGATTGAACTTGGGACCTTGTCCTTGCGAGGTAGGCAGTGGAGCCACTGAGCTAAAGCCCCGGCCCCTCCCACTAGCTTGTTTTTGGCCCCTGTTCTTCTCCTGTTGTGTTCCCTGATGTCACCTCTACCTATAGTCCAGACTGTAGGCCACACCGGTCAGCCAAGACACCTTTAGTTGTCCTAACTGTTCCGCTCAGGTCGGCCCTTCCCCTCCCATTCTCTGGGAGCCGTCCCCCCACACGCCCGGGGCTTACTGCACTCCCTGTGGTGTTGCTCTCCTCACCTCTGGACTCCATCTGCTTCCCACCATGACGGGTATGGGCTGCAGCACCAGCCTGGGCCTGGCCTCCTGCCCATCTTGACACCCTAGCCCATTGTCCACAGAGAGCTGGGCTGACTTTCTTTTGCTTGTCTTTTGTATTTTTCCAGTGCTGAGGACTGAGCCCAGGGCCTCACACATGCTAGGCAAGCACTGTACCATTAAACCGCAAGGTGATTGTTTTGTCTTTTTATAGTATGTACTGGGGATTGAACCTCAGGCCTTCCCACTGTACTATATCTCCAGCTTTTTCTCTCTTTTTTTTTCTCTCCTTTTCTCCCTCCCTTCCATTTTGAGACAGGTCTTACTGAGCCATTAAACTCAAGTTGCCCAGACTAGGTTTGAATTTTCAATCCTCCTGCCTCAGCCGCTTAGCACTCCCCTCCCAGAGTACTGGGATTTCAGATGTGCACTGCCATGCCTGGCTTTGTTGTTTTTAGACAGTCTCATCATGTAGCCCAGACTAGCCTTGAGCTTCCAACCCTCCTGCCTCATCCTCCTCTCAAGTGCTGGAATTATAGCTGTGTGCTACCATGCTCAGTGTGATTTCTCTAAAAATCTCCTGAATTGGCCCCTACCCACAGGAGAAAACCCAAGCTCCTTAGTGTGGCTCTTTAGCCTCTGGCCCCTCCTCTTTCATGCCATGATCCAGGAAGGAGGTCACTGTGAATCCTGCTATGGTCTAAATGTTGGTATTCTCCAGAAGTTTCTATGTTGGAACCTGGGACACAGTGGTGGGAGCTTTTGGGAAATGATTAAATCCTGAGGTCTTTCATTATATGCATGGGACAGGTGTTGCTATCAAAGAGGATGAGCTGGACGTGGTGGCACATGCCTGTGATGCCAGTACTTGGGAGGCTGAGGCAGTAGGATTGCTGCAAGTTTTGAGACCAGCCTGGGCTTCATGGTGAATTCAAGGGCATCCTGAACTATATAGCAAGACCTAGTCTTGTTTTTTTTTTTTTTTTCCTTAGAGACAGGGTCTCACTATGTAGTTGAGATTGACCTGGAACTCACTATGTAGTCCAGGCTGGTCTTGAATTCACAGTGATCCTCCTGCCTCAGGCTCCGGAGTGCTGGGATTACAGGTGTGCACCACCACGCTCGGCTGCGAGACCTAGTCTTAAAAAGAGCATGAAGGTAACTACCTTATACTTGCTGAGGACACAAGAAGAATTTGCCATTTTGAAGCAGACAGCAGCAAGCTTATCAGACCAAGAATGAGCTGGTGTTGATCTTGGAATTTCCAAACTCTAGGAGTGTGAGCAGTACAGACCTTTTGGTTATAAATGACCCAGTCTAAAGTACAGTGTCACAGCAGCCTCTAAATCTGTACTTCTCACCTCTGGGGCTTGGCATGTGGGTCTCCCTCTGCTGAATCCAGCCTGCTTGTCCTTTCGGTTCAGCTTGGAGGTCTGCACCCTGGAAGGCATCATGGACATACTCCTCCCCATCCCTGCCCTCCAGGTCGAGGCGACCTTGTCTGGGGATAGCTCACTGCTATCTGCTCTGGAGGGATAGGGAGGGCAGGATACAGATTCAGAAGCTTTAGTGGGACACACGCCATGCTGTGCTGTGCTGTGCTTGCTGCCGCATCTCCAGTATGTAACCATGAGTACAGGTGCAACAGATGAGTGACGCATCCCTTCCCTCTACAACCAGAGTTCCCACAGGGCTTCAGAAGGGCAGGAGTTCATAGAGGGATGCTCAGCTCCCTGATCCGAGAAGGCTCCTGTGAGGGGGATGGGGCTTTGGCTCCCACACTTCAGGAGCAAAAGCTCTGGAATGCTTCGAGAGCTTCTGTCTTAAGAAATGGGACCAAAGACTGGAGTGAGAGAGTTCACCACATTTATTGATCTATGACTAGGGTAACAGACAGGGTGCATCTGTGCTGGGCTCTGTCCAGAAGGGAGGCTGTCCTTCAGGGCCAGAACCAGGAGGGAGCCAGTCCTGGGTCGGTTTCTCAGAACTCAAGATCCTGGACCACCTTGGGAGGCACCAGCCTGGCCTAGGGATCAGTCTGAAGGTCCTGCCCTGTCACTTGCTACTCGCCTGGGGCTCAGGGCCTGTGCCTGCTGGCCTGCAAAGCTACGTGGGGGCTGTGCGGCCAAAGTGAGGGTGGTGGGGAAAGGAATAAGGCCCTCGTGCAGTGTGGGAAGGATCTGGCAGTGGAGCCCAGTGTGGAGCTCATAAGCTCAGATGATATTTTGTTCCAGGACCTTCTCCTCCAAGTAAAAGCGGCTGAAGAGGAAGGGGCTCATGTCGATGGTCTGGAAGCGGCCCTCCAGCAGCATCTCAGCCACAGCCCGCCCCACACCTGGGGCATGCTGGAGGCCATGGCCGCTGAAGCCCGTAGCAAAGTACATGTTGACCACTAGCGGATGGGGGCCCACCACACCATTCTGGTCAAAGGTGTTGTAGTCATAGTAGCCAGCCCAGGCGCTGCGAACCTGTGGGTGCAGGAGATGTGGGGGTCTCAGCAAGGCTGCATACATGCTCAACCCTCACTCCTGATCAGGAGCAGCTACTGAGGGCCCCATGAGATGGCATGTGCTCAGCAGACTTGTTAGGGGTTCTGCAGTGGAGCAATGGCAGGTCCAAGGGGGTCAGGATATTCCAGTATGACTCATCCTGTCCACTGTCCAAAATCAAACAGAAAAAGCCACCCCTGCCATCCCTACCTTTAGAGCCTCAAAGACTGGCACCCTCTGGGCCAGATGGGGCCACACTTTGTTCTGGAAGAAATCATGGTCCACTTCCAGGTCTGCTGGGTCTGGTTCCTCCTCCTGTGTGAGAGATGGGGACAAGGCTTATACTCAGATTGCCTGGGGAAAACAGGTAGACCTAAACCTCATGGGTTCCTTTAAAAGATGAGAATGGGGAGATAAAAGATCCCAGTTCTGATGGGAAGGGCTGAAACATTAATACAGAAAAGGGGCCCTGACTGCCTGTCTCCTCTTTCCCTGTCTGTACCCACCCACTCTGCCACAAGCTCAACTTACCTCAGTGGGGCTACGGCCACCTACATAGTTGTTGCCCAGTCCTTCCCGGCGGAAATAGACTCCATTGGTGTCTGTCACCAGGGGAGTCTCCAGGCCTGGCCCTTGGGGGCAGTGCCACAAGTACACAAACCTGCCATAACCAGGGAGGTTAGGATATCACAAGAACAGTATGGCCGATGACCGTACCCACCCCAGCCACACGCGCATGTGCACAACCAACTTTTGTATCATCTCTGTCTTTCTCTCACCAATCTCCTCAGCTACCCTGAGGGAGGCTACCTTTTCCTCGGTTCCACAGGTAGCTTGGTGCCCTGCAGGGTGCCAGGTGGCCCTTTCCCAATACCAGCCAGCTCTGCAACCTGCCCAGACCAGGCTCCTGCGGCATTGATCACTATGGCACATTCTACTGGCTGGTACTCCAGGCTGTTGTCCATCTTGACCTGCAGGCACCAGAGGGTAAGAGGAAGGAGCCCTGGCCCACAACTGGGTACCATGAGAGGGACACTTCCTCCTGAGCCCTAATTTACCCATGCTGGAAAGTGGGGAGAAAGAAGGCCACCAGTCAGAAGGAGCCACTGGATCCAGAGACTTACATGGACCTCATGGATCCTTCTCAAGATCACCTCTTCCCCACTTGAGTTCCTCATGCTGTTCGATGAAGTAAGAAAACCTGCAGAAAAGAGGAATACAATCTTAGAACCTGGGGTGTAGCACATGCTTAACACGTATGAGGTTCTGGTTGATTTGAAGCACACACACCTACGCCCTAAAAAGTGCCCCTTAAGTAAGGAAATGGGGATCCCACTCATTTCTTAAGGAAAAAAAAAGCTAAAGAATAGGTGCTTTCCCACAGACACTGAAGCCAACAAAGATCAGGTAACTGAGATAAACTTGGCCACATGTGGGACAAGACAGTGCTGAAACTGTTGAGCAGGTCACAAGTCACAAAGCAGCCTTGTGAGGGACACAGTCAAAACACCCAGAATCTGCCCCTGGGGGCTGGGGGCAGCCCTCTCCCTCACCAGCCCTTGCTTAGCCCATGAGTGAGAAGCTGGGCCACAGTAAGGCCTTGGCCTGGCTGCTAGAGGACACAGCATGGGTCCCTACACTCACGTGTCACCTCTCCCTGGCAGAAGAGGACTCCCATTGACTGAACCTTTCGCCGAAGCCCCTGAAGCAGAGACCAGGGGTCAAACCAACCTTCATTTTCCAGCCCTGAGACGAGAAAAGGACAAAGTAGGAAGTGTGACTAGGGCCTGCTTCTCCTATTATACTTCATGCTGCATTTGTCTGGGCTTGGGAGCCAGGGAAGGGTCATCTGGACCAAATGGACCAGGAAGTCCAATCCTGAGAAGGACAGAGAAGCAGCATAGCTGGGGCATGCCCTGTTACCAGGAGGGGGTGGCCCTCCTGCAGCATGGCCGTGGTCTGGTCAGACTGCCAGCATGGAGGCAGACTCACCATAAGACGCCAGGGCTACTCCCTCCATGTTCATCCAAGGAAACTTCTTCTGAAGCTGCTCAGGAGACATCAGAGAAATTTTGGCCCCTTCCTGCCTGAGAGAAATGAGTGCGTCTGCATGCATGTACCAGATAGGGTGAGTGTGTGCAGGATAGGAGCATGGACCCCAACTCTGCAAGTGGGAGTCCAGCTTGTTTATGTCACTCCTCTGCCCTAAACACCTCAATTTTCCCTCCCTGCTGAGTGAGCTCGGGCACCTAGTCGAGGTTCTTTGCTATGTGAACCTCTGTCTTTGCCTACACCTTTATCTCTGTTTAGCACACTAAGCTCCTTCTGGTCCCCTACCTGTTCCATCTCCTTTGTGACCTGGTCGGGAGATGAGTTTCCCTCTATACCTGGCAAAATGGGTTTCCTCTCCGCTGCCTGGTACAGTCCTTCCTATCAGTGTCTCCTCTGGGACACTGCTTCCCAAGGCCGGGTGCTAACAAAACGCTCTCATAAACCAGACTGCCCAATGAGTTAAATCCTAGGGCCACCATTTGTAAGACTTGAGCCCCGTGCCTCAGTTTCCCCACATGTAAAATGGGGATTAAAAAATTTTTTTGGATTTGTTTATTTTTATTTTTTGAGATAGGGTCTTGCTATGTAGTTCAGGATGGCCTTGAACTCACTATGTAGCCCAGGCGGACCTCAAATTTGCAGTGATCCTCCTGCCTTAGCTTCCCAAGTGCTGGAATTACAGGTGTGTTCCACCATGCCCAGCTAAATGGTGATATTATGACAGTTAAATGACTTCAAGTGGTAAAGCATTTAGGATATTATGTGATATCACTAGTGAGAATTCTGGAGAGTTTGTTAAAGAGAGCCTTCAGCCACAATGTACTGCAAAGATGCCAACTCTTAACTGATTTTGAGACTTAAAGGCACGGCCAACCTGCTGCCTGTTTTTGCAAATAAGACAAACCCAACCAATTACATTTTTCTCTATGGCTGCTTTTGTGCTACAATAGTGGAGCTGACTGGCTACAACTGAGCCTGAATGACTAGAAAAATCTAAAATATTTTATTATTTTTGCCTTTGACAGAAAAAGCTTGCTGATCTTGACTGAATGTTCTTTTTAAAAGGCAGATTTCTAGCCAGGCACAGTAGGGCACACTTGTAATCCCAGCACTTGCAAGACTAAGGCTGGAGGATCTCAAGTTCAAGTCCTGCCTGGGCAACTTAGCAAGGCCCTGTCTCAAAATAAAAAATAAAAAGGACTGGGAATGTAGCTTGGGAACTAATCCCCAGTACCACAAAAGAAAAAAACCCAAATACCCTTCATATTCCTGGACTACTCTCTGAGATGTCAGTTTCTTAGGCCTGGTGGTTCTTATAACCTGGCAAATGCAGGGTCTGCCACAGCAGCGTTCTGTCATTTGCTGAAAACCGTGCCACAGGGATGGAAGGGCTTGTCTTTCTGGACAGCATGCGCTCCTACAGAGCAGGTACCTGTTTCATCAACTGCAGCCTCTTCCTAATGTGGTGCTTGAAAACATGAGGCTGAGAAAGAGCTAAGGGCTGTGCTGGGCACCCACCTCTGCATTTTCACATTGGTTTCCAAAATGGCAGCACCCTTTTCTGTAGCCAGCAAGAGGTAACCAGAGGGGTTGAACTGGAGGTCCAAGGGAGGGGTATCGACCACAGCCAAGTACTCCTGTGTATAAAGAAAAGCCACTCAGAGGCTGTCTTGAAAAATTGAGGGAAAACTTTCCTGGCCAATCACCCACAGCTCCCAGGTCCCCAAACACCAGCACCCCAAACCAGAAGAAGCCTCCCTGTAGACACCAATACCGGGAAGAGAAGGAAGGCCCTTAACTCCTAGCTGCTTGAATTGCTTCCTATCTCTCATTCCTCTCAAAGGCTGGGCTGCTTCTCCCTCTGAGTGCCACCGTCCCAATCCCCCAAGTCATACTGCACATACATTGATGTTCCGTAGAAAGTCAATTGAAAAGAGGGAGAGCTGGACATTCTGAGGCAGTGAGAACTGCTGACGAATCCCACCCACAGAAAGTCCTGTGGAGGCTTTTGAGTACTGTGGAGAGACAAGAAAAGCTGAGGTAGACCAGTATGCTGTCACAATGGAATGCTGCATGGGAGCTGTGAGTTCTACACCTGAAGTTAAAGGGAATCCTCTTTGTAAGTTTATAACCTAAGAGCAGTCAGGGTGGAGAAACCCACGTGTAAGTCCACCAGCAGCCCAAACAGTGTTAAAATCACCACTGGCAGATGGGCATAGCAGTGAGGGTCAGTAATCTACAAAGGTCTGGCACAATGAGACAAAACAATTATGTTCTGGAAGTCTAACAGTAGGAGATTAAAACGTGGTTACTAGGGCCGGGGATTTAGCTCAATGATTCTGCTGCCTACCTTGCAAGTGCAAGGATTCGAGTTTGATCCCCAGTACCCAAAATAAGTGAGTAAATAAATAAATAAAAATAAAATGTGATTACTAATTAAAGAATGAAAGGAAAGAAAGACTATGACCAAGGTACCAAGACTTGTAGCTAGAGAGGAATGGGAAATATGAACTAAACTGCAGAAACCTCAAAAGTAACAGAATATAGCCAGGCATGGTGGTGCACACCTATAATTTCAGCATTTGGGAGGCTGAGGAAGTATGACTGTGAGTTTAGGCCAGCCTTACATAACAAGACATTCTTTCTCACTCTCTCAAACAAAACAAAACAAAAAACCCTTCTAAAACAATGGAATCTAAAAGAAGGCTGAGACAGTTATTTGCATTAATAGACTGAAATGCAAGGTCTCTTGGCCAGACCTTTGTCACCTGGAACTACCCAACAACACAGAATCTGCTTTCAAAAGCAAAAACCTTTTTTGTCAAAGATCTTGGTTTGAGGAAGAAACTCAACAAAGTCTAAAGCACAGTCGCTGTCCTCTGGATGTGCAAAGATTGAGGTCTTCCCTCCTCTTTTCTTGCCCTTAGAGTCCTTAATAAAGTCCCCTTGCCCCACTCATGATTCTGCCCTACCCCAGACCTCACCATGTGGTCTCGTTCCACCACCAGCACCCGAATGGCATCTCGTCTCTTCGCCAGCTTCTTCAACCAAAAGGCTACCGACAGGCCAAGCACTCCACCTCCTACAATCACCACATCCGAGTGTTCAGGGGGTAGGTGCCTGGTGTCACACAGCAAGTCGCCGGGCTCTCCGGGCATGATCGACTGGATCTTCTTCTTAAACTCCGACACCTTTCCATCCCAGTCTGTGGGATGTGGTTATGGTTAGAAGGCTTGGGTCTCTATTCCCAGGTAGTGGGGCACAGGAAAAGGTGGGCACTTGAGTTGGAGTTGGAAGTCCTCACTGTCATCCTTTCTAAGCAGTACCGTCACAGCTTTGCTGTGTGGTCCTTATACAGTCAACCTGCCCGATCATGCATGCAGCATGCCTGGCACTGCAGTCTTCAACTTACTAAATTAGCACTTTCCACTCTCTCCCTAGGTTAGGCGACAAGTTTATCTCCTGAACCTCTCTTCCACTTAAGCACCAGACTCAAGATATTCAAGGGCACGGTGATCTCTACTAGGGTATCCCAGACCCACAGGACAAGAGGTGCTGGCATACTACGAGGCAGCTCCCCCTAAAAGGTAACTTATCTTAGACACCCCTGGATAGCCATCTCCCCCTGCAAGTTTCCTTTTTAAGTGATATGTGTCACTTGAGAACGGCCGCCTTGGTATCCGTACACTTGCCCGGGGTCTATGAGCTCCGGCAGGCAAGCTTTCTCAGCCGGCCCACAGTCCTGCCAGCTTGGGCCCTGAAGGTCACGCCAGAACCATAATATCCTCGGCTTTACCCAGAATGGAGTATCCACTGTGCGTGCCTACTTCCCGGATCGAGAGACTCCGGCCCAGGCCGAGCCGCAGGAACCTCCGAAGCATGGCTCCTTCTGAGCCGAGCCTCTCTGAGAGCTGGTTACCCCATACTCTTACTACCAGGGTATCCGCCACTTGTTCAGAAGAGCACGCCCATTGGCCAGTGGTCACCTCCAGGTCCCCGCCTCTCCACGCTATAGGCTGCCTCCGACCCAAGGCCTGCCTACCGCTCATTGGTCCTCCCTTCCTTGCGTCATTCCCGCGCGCCCTCCGGACGAGATGGGACGGGAACCCGGCGCTCCCTGCGGAAGTGCTGCTGAGCCTGTTTCCGGGGCCGCTGGTGTGACGTGGCTAGTGCTTGGCGCAGCAGGAAGCGGCGGCGATCGCGGCCCGATTTCCCGGCGCCGGTCCTAGCTCTTCTGCTGTCGCCATGCTCGACTTCTTCACCATTTTCTCTAAAGGCGGCCTTGTGCTGTGGTGCTTCCAGGGTGTGAGCGACTCATGCACCGGGCCCGTTAACGCGTTGATTCGTTCGGTGCTGCTGCAGGTACCTCCGCCGCGGACTCAGAACTCTGGGCTCTTTCCTCCCTGATTCCGTCCATAGTTCTCTTTCGAATAACGATCCTGCGCCCCTCTCCCATCCTCCCAGCCCACGGCAGACTGGCCGCTGACTGGTCACCGGCCGGTGCTTTCCTCTGTCCTCGTCGGGCCACTCCGCAACTTTGCGTCGCCCCCACCTCGATTATGGGGGACTGTAGCCGGATTCCGGGACCTCTTGAGATTTCCTTCCTTTCTCTCCAGGTTTCTGCTGTTTGGAGGCTGAGAGAGATTATGAATGGGAAAACACTTTTAAGAAACTAGTGCACAGCTGCTAGTGGACTTGTTTATATAGGAGGACTTACCTTTTGGTTTTTACGTGTGTTACCTGTCTTCTCACCTTTTCCCCAACCCCAGTTTGGTATCTCCTTTTCCAAGGGGGATGCTAGAGAGAAATTTCCCAGCATCCTCTTGTCCTGGGGACAGGTTTGACTTTGGGAGGTTGTGTAGTACTTCCCAACGGTAATCTGGGGATCCAAGTGTGGTTTTTCTAGGGATAGCTGGAACCCTGAGACACACTTTTTTTTTTCCAGGAACGGGGAGGTAACAATTCCTTCACCCATGAGGCCCTCACACTCAAGTACAAACTGGACAACCAGTTTGAGCTGGTGTTTGTGGTAAGTGGGGGTATTTTGGAGGGACAGTGGTTACATTTTCAACATAGCCCTTAACTATCACTAAGAAAACTGATTAATTCCAGCGTTAAGTGCTGAAGGAACTGAGAAAACCAGGTAGGTGGAGGGGGAAAGGCAACTTCTGGACCAGGCAGAGAGCTTGGCTGCCTCTCAGGACAGGGAAGCCTGCCAGGTGGCTGAGTCTAACTCTGGAGGCCTAAGTTGAGTTGGCACCCCTCCATTCTGGGCCACTTTGTAAGCAGATCTGTTTTCCTTCCCTAAACAGGTTGGTTTTCAGAAGATCTTAACACTGACGTATGTAGACAAATTGATAGATGATGTACACCGGCTCTTTCGGGACAAGTACCGCACAGAGATCCAACAGCAGAGTGCTTTAAGTCTATTGAATGGCACTTTTGATTTCCAAAATGACTTCCTGCGGCTCCTTCGGTGAGAGGCCTCCCTTCTCCAAAATCAATTCCCATGACTTGATGAGCTCCCTTCCTGAAGGTGGTTCAAGGATAGTAAATTGGGTGTTCAAAACCACTTCAGTTTTGTTGCCCAGTTCTGTCATGTCCTTTTGGTATGAGGGTCCTTTCTCTGGATTTTTATATTTTTTTTCCAGCACGGGGTAGAAAAATAAACCATTCTCTTCTCCCTGTAGTGATGCAGAGGAGAGCAGTAAAATCCGTGCTCCCACTACCATGAAGAAATTTGAAGATTCCGAAAAGGCCAAGAAACCTGTGAGGTCCATGATTGAAACACGGGGGGAGAAGCCTAAGGAAAAAGCAAAGAACAGCAAAAAAAAGGGGGCCAAAAAAGAAGGTGTGCTTCAGCTCCCTGGATATGTGGTGGCATGAAAGGTGTTACTGTGGTACTAAGGACTGAGTGTTCCTTCCTTTTGCCATTGCTTGCCTCCCTCTCACTAGTATGCTCACCACCTTCACCATCATCCTCAGGTCTTCACCCCCAACATATCCAGGTTGTTTGCTCTTCAGGATTTGGAAGAATTCTAGCCATTGCCTAGTTGGTTGGGATTTGATCCTTTTTTCTCCAGTGAGGTTTCTCCTAACAGGTTCTGATGGCCCTTTGGCTACCAGTAAAGCAGCCCCTGCAGAAAAGTCAGGTCTCCCAGTGGGGCCTGAGAATGGAGAACTTTCCAAAGAGGAGCTGATACGCAGGAAGAGAGAGGAATTCATTCAAAAGCATGGGAGGGGTATGGACAAATCCAGGTGAGCATCCTTCTATCTCTTCTCTCTAAAGATAGTTACCTAGCTATGCTGGAGGCCAGCAAACTGTTTCTAGCTCATTTTTCCCCCTCACCATAACCCTCTGTCCCTATGATCCTTTGTAGCAAGTCCACGAAGTCAGATGCTCCAAAGGAGAAGGGCAAAAAAGCACCCCGGGTGTGGGAACTAGGTGGCTGTGCTAACAAGGAAGTCTTGGATTACAGTACTCCTACCACCAATGGAACCCCAGAGGCTGCCCTATCGGAGGACATCAACTTGGTAAGAGGCAGCAGGTGCCAGAATGATGGTCTACCAATTAGAAATTAGGAAGTAGAGACCAGGAGGGTGATCCCTGGATTCATTTGAGCAAAGGGGTAAATTACATTTGGACCTTCCCTGTCCCCAGCGTGGATAGGGTAAACCTGGGCTTTTTGTCCTCCGAGCTTGTAGTTTCTGACCTCATCTTCCTTCCCCCACATCTTCCAGATTCGAGGGACTGGGCCTGGAGGTCAGCTTCAGGATCTGGATTGCAGCAGCTCAGATGATGAAGGGGCTGCCCCAAACTCTACCAAACCCAGGTAGGATTTCAGGTGGGGTGGTGTTTACAGCTGCGGCAGTGACAGGCCCTGAGTCCTTTCTGAGGCTTACATGTGTTTATGATCTTGTGTCCGCAGTGCTACCAAGGGTACTCTGGGTGGCATGTTTGGGATGCTGAAGGGCCTTGTGGGTTCCAAGAGTTTGAGTCGTGAAGATATGGAATCTGTGCTGGACAAGATGCGTGATCATCTCATTGGTAAGTTCTAAGACTGGCTTCTCAGCTGAACCATGCAGTCAGTCACTATTGACATAACAAATCTCACACCAGTTTCCCTGTCTGCTCAGCTAAGAATGTAGCTGCAGAAATTGCTGTCCAGCTCTGTGAATCTGTTGCCAACAAGTTGGAAGGGAAGGTGATGGGGACATTCAGTAGTAAGTATCTGTAAGTCAGAATATGCTATCATACCAAGAGGTTAAGCACATAGTCTCTGCTCTTCCTGAGTGTGTGGCTTAGGGCAAATTCCTTAATTTGTAGATTTGTATAACCTACTCAAGAGTTACTAGACTGAATGAGTTAATATTTAAAAATTGCTTTAACATATGTTCTAGATTCCTGGGACAGGATCCTAGCATGGTCCTAGTCCCCTTAGCTCAGAAAGGTGTCTTTACTACATGGCCCAGGCTGCCTTTCAACTCATAACCCTCCTGCCTCTGCCTCCTCAGAACCTGGGATTACAGGCCATGTGCCGCTATGCCTGGCCAAGTGTTGGATATTTGAGTGCATTCCTTAGGTTTCATGGCTGTGTTCCTTCTACCTCCCTTTACAGCGGTGACTTCCACAGTCAAGCAGGCTCTGCAGGAGTCCTTGGTGCAGATTTTGCAGCCCCAGCGTCGTGTGGACATGCTCCGGGATATCATGGATGCCCAGCGCCGCCAGCGCCCTTATGTTGTCACCTTCTGTGGTGTTAATGGAGTGGGAAAGTCTACTAATCTTGCCAAGGTCAGTGCAGTTCCCCAACCTGTCACTGACACTTAGTGCACTTTATTCTCCATGTCTTAGAACCCCGAGTCTAGGTGTTTGCTCTCTTTACCATTACAGATTTCCTTCTGGCTGTTAGAGAATGGCTTCAGTGTCCTGATTGCTGCCTGTGATACGTTTCGGGCTGGGGCCGTAGAGCAGCTTCGTACACACACTCGGCGGCTAAGCGCTCTGCACCCACCAGAGAAGCACGGTGGCCGAACGATGGTGCAGCTGTTTGAGAAGGGCTATGGCAAGGATGCTGCTGGCATTGCCATGGAAGCCATTGCCTTTGGTACAGTGCACAGGAAGTGTGGGGGCTTGATGGGGCCCCTTTTCCTCTTTGGGTTCCTTTAAATTTTCAGATAGGCTCATACTACTACAAACTTAACTGCTTAGCAATGGAGAAGAGTCAGGGTTAGTTACTTGCTAGGCTCTGCTTTTGGGTAATGTGTACAGTTGCAGACAAAGCTGATACCCCAACCAAAGAAACCTGAATTGGTCACCTTTATCCTGTTGCTGTCCTTAAACCCAGAGCCTGAGTAAGTAAAGTTTTCCACAGAGATAGATTGACTTCTTAGGAGGCTAGGCAATTGGTGCACATATGTGCTACACTTGAGTGTTTTGACCTGCCTCTCTCTGCAGCACGAAACCAAGGCTTCGATGTGGTGTTGGTGGACACGGCTGGCCGCATGCAAGACAATGCTCCCCTGATGACTGCCCTGGCCAAACTCATAACCGTCAATACACCTGACTTGGTGCTGTTTGTTGGGGAGGCCTTGGTAGGCAACGAAGCCGTGGACCAGCTGGTGAGGGCGTAGGTCTAGTTCTCTTTACAACTTAAAACTTTGGCAAATTAGGTGGTTCTTTTATCACCTTTTCCCTTTCCAGGTCAAGTTCAACAGAGCCTTGGCTGACCATTCTATGGCTCAAACACCTCGGCTCATTGATGGCATTGTTCTTACCAAATTTGACACCATTGACGACAAGGTAAATGTGGATGGTGAGATTGGAGGGAGCAACTGGCTTCCTTCACAAGGGAGTTGAGTTGATTGCTGTCCCCTTTTCTCCACTTCAGGTGGGAGCTGCTATTTCCATGACGTACATCACAAGCAAACCCATTGTCTTTGTGGGCACTGGCCAGACCTACTGTGATCTGCGCAGTCTCAATGCCAAGGCTGTGGTGGCTGCCCTCATGAAGGCTTAACATGTCTCTTGCCTAATACCAAATTGCCGCTTCACCCCAAAAGCCTG